TCTTCATGAGCAGAAACAAAATGAAGTCGCACAGAGCTGGGTCAGGTGAGTCAGGTGCATGGGACAAGACAGGCATGCTGGTTTTTTGCCAAAAACTGGCACACTGAGATGGCTGTGTGAACAGGTGCCTTGCCACGGTGGAAAAATCAGTCCCCTGTCTGACACAAATCAGGCCTTTTTTTGTCACACACTGTTACCCAATCTTTCCAGAACCTCTAAATAGAAAGCTTGACTAACAGTCTGACCTGGTGGAACAAACTCCAAATACACCACGAGTCAAGTCGACATTTTTATCTGTTCAGGAAGTTGACAGATACCCAGAACAAAGTTTGTCATCAGTTGACATTTCCCTTTTTTGAAATAGAAAACCACGTGCCCACTTGAGTTTTTCCCATAGCGCTGTCCTTATAAGCGGTGTTCAAGACCACAACAGTTTCTGCAGCATTTTTCCTGCGCAGGAAACAAAATTTCACAGCCGCATGCCTTTCTCTTAAATTGGTCATCACAAAAAATGAGGTTTGAGCGAAACTGCTTTTATGAAAAAATTCACTGCGATCAGAGAGAATCTTCCCAGATGACATCATTGGGTGCACTAACAGGGCAAGTTGCTTGATGCTCGCCCAGCGGGGAAGCGGGTGGGAGAGCATTTTTCCCTTTTTGGGGGGAGGGTGGGAGTACCCCCTCATAAAAGATATACAGGTATTGGAGTAACTGAGTATCTAAATTAGAAAAGTTTTTTTACTAAATCCCTTATGTTGTTCCTGGGGTTCCTTGTGATGGAGCTGATTCTGACCCATGGAGTCACTGTATGTGCAGGGTGGAACCACTCCACAGGGTTTTCAATATAACTGTTGGGAAACAGAACACCAGGGCTGTCTTCTGAGTTCAAACTTGGTGGTTTGAACTGCTAACCTTCTGGCTGGTAGTTGAATGTTTAACTGTTTGTGCTACCCACAGAACCTAAAATTTCTTGTTTCAGCTTTTTATGTGGGTAAGAGTCTGGTTTTGCTCTTTATTTACTATGTGTTCATTGTTCTTGGATTTTAAGGTGTATTCGATGGGATGTTGTTGATCATGGACTCATGGGAGGTTTAATGCGTCCTTGGCAATGACAAAACACCGAGAGGCTCTGCTGGGTCAGATACATTGACATTGAAATTGTGGCTTGTCACTTGCAAGTTACTCCACCACGCTGAGCTTCCTCATCAGGATAATGAGGATTATAGAGGTTTTGAAATGATGGGTTTAAGTAGATATATCACAGGGAGTGCAGGGGCGTACTTGTGCTTCCTTAGCATCTGGAGTGAAAATGTCACATTTTTCACCACATCAAAGATGCTGCTTCTCGGTCTGGATGGCATCTCCCTCTCAACCCCACAGTCAAAGCCTCTTCTCACATGCACAGTCCCTGCCAGGAATGGAGAAACCAGGAAGAGAGAAGCGCGGACTTGTGCTTATTCATGTGTCTGAGCTGTTCGGTTAGCTGTTCTGAAGCATACATTGCTCATCAGTGTTATCGTTCACTTGACAGGCCTGTTCGTTGTTTGGCTAAAGGGGATTCCCCAGAGGTGGGTTCGTTCCAGGTTTGAGGGGTGTCTGAGGACCATGGTCTGGGGAGTTCTACCAGTTGCTCTCTCAGACCAGTAAATTTTTATGATTTGAAGGTTGTTCTGCGCTTGTCTCCTCTTCTGTCCAGGACCTTCTGTGGTCCCTGCTGTGGTGGTAGCTGGGTGCCACCGTTTGTTCTCTGGCCCCAGGGGAGTGGAAGCTGTGGTCACAGGGCCCGTTGGTCCTCGGGGCTCATTGTTTTCTCGAATCTTTGCTTTTCTTCAGGCTTCTTCTCTCTGGACAGGGACTGACCAGTCGTTGCAGATAACCTGCCGACCACTAGCTCCCCACCCCAGTGGCATGTGGAACATTGTCGTTGTGAACTGTGTGATGTCGACTGTGTTAGCTGGGCTCTGAAAGGGTGTTCTTATGCTACCTTGCTCCATGACTCGTTTCCTCAGGATGTTTGGTTACAGCTACATGAAGAAGGTTTCAGAACTTTGCTCCACTATATACTCGCTCACTCCCACTGAGTCAATTCTGACTTAAAGTGACCCTAAAAGACCAAGCAGATCAGTTTCTTTGGGTTTCTGATTCTATAAATCCTTACAGGAGCAGAAAGCCTCCTCTTTCTCCCAGGAAGCAGCCAGTGGGTTTGAACCTGCTGACCCTGAGTTTAGCAGCCAAATACATAATCTGCTATGCCTCCAGGCCTCCTTGGGTGCTACTATATACATGGATGTATTTAAAGCAAATACAATTATTTATATTTATCATTTTATTTTTAAAATTAATTTAATAATTTCTAATTTTATATTTATATATTATATTTATAAATACAAAAAATTATTTGATTGAAATAATTGCAGAAATATCCTCTGCCAAACGTACATGGTAAAGTCCCATATCCGTTCCATTTGCATTTGCCTATAGATTTACTCATGGGTTATTTCTTATGACTAACATTCTAAGATTGTGTGTGTAATACGATTGAACTTTGTCTTGAAAGTTGTAACTCTTGCGTGATAGTGTGCTATCGCACCTTTCTGCATATTGCTTGTCTCTTCACACAAATTAATATGCATCTAGTTATTTTCCCCTCCATTCCCACCCCATCCTTGAATTCATTGTCCTTCTTTGATGTAGCACAGCATTCCGTTGCCTGTGTGTAGCACAGTTTGTTTATCCACTCATCTGTTGAGGGGCATTTAGGTTTTTTATCCTTTGTTATTGTGAAGAATGCTGCCACGAACACAAGTGTCCACCTGACTATGTCAGCATTTGTTTCTCTAGGATCTATGACTAGCAGGGGAATTGCTGTATTAAATGGCATTTCTATTTCCAGCTTTTTAAGGAAGCGCTATGCTATTTCTCACAGTGGTTGTACAATTTACATTCATACCAGCAGTGATGATAGTGCCAATATCTCCACCCATCACAACCATTTGTTATTTTATACCTTTTTGAGCTTTGCTGTTATTGCTGGAGTGAGATATCTCATTGTTGTTTTGATTTTTCTCTAATGGCTAGTAGGTTTTGTTTTGGTAATGGCTAATGATCACAAGGATGTCTTCATGTTTGTTGACTTCCTAAATGTCTTTGGTGAAGAGTTTTTTCATGTCTTCTGCTCATTTCTGCACCAGATTGTCTTGTATTGTTCTCATGAATGCTTCTAATGTATTGTCTGTGATTTCCTTAATTGTGTTTGCTGTTTCCTGGACCTCTTAGAAGGCCCTAAATTTTAAGTTTTTTGAATCTCTTATCAGGTTGTTTCATTACCATTTCTTCCTCAAGGAAGTTTCCTGGTTCCTTATTTTAGACAATTGCTTGAGTCATCCTATCTTTGTTTGTTTGATTTGGTGACTTGTCTCCAAAGGAGTCCTGGTAGTAGTGGGTTAAATATTTGGCTGCTAACTGCAAGGTAGGTGCTTCCAATCCATCAGTTGCTCTGCATGAGAAAGATGAAGCTGCCTGATACCATTCAGATTCACTTTTTGGGCAACCGTAAGGAGCAGTTTTACTTTGTCCTATAGGATCACTATGAGTTGAATTGACTTGATGGCGAGTGGTTAGTGGGTTAACTCCAAGACACTTTAATTGGTTGATTGGTTTTGTCCTGATTCTTTGTTGTGCTTTGATTTATCTGGGTGCTTGGGGGGGGGTGTGCTACTCCAGTCACTAGTTTGGCAGCGCCGGGACATTCATAGCTTGTCTCTGGGTGGGTTGGGTGACAAGTGGCTGTGTGGACATGGGTCTGTGTTTGCTGGCCAAGGAGAGCAGCTTTAGGATGGAAGCATGTGTTGTCCAGCATCTCTCATTGACCCCGAGGTGCAGGAGCAAGTGGAAGTGCTTGCCTTTAGGTGAGGCAGTGGACGGCAGGTGAGGGAGAAGCAGTAGAGGCGTGTCACTTGCTGTTCAGTTAATGAAGGTGGGGGGGGGGGCTTGTACAGTCATAAGGAGCTTCAGTGGTGCTGTGGGGTAAGCATTGGACTGTTAGCTGCAGGAATGGTGGTTCAAATCCACCAGCCACTCCAGAGGAAAAAGACAAGACAAAACTTGGGCTATCAAGGTGACAAGTTTTAGGGGCGGTATCTAAGGAGCAGTTTTAAAATGGATAGTTTCATGGGGTGACTGAAGTGAATGGGGGATTTAAGAATGAGGTTGTGCTGCGGGTGTAGGGGCATGGTTGCTTTTCTTAGCATTTTTGCTCTCCAAGCTGCTGCAAGTAGAAATTCTCTTATGTCGCATCCCAGCCATTTAGACAGAAGAGAGGTAGGGACAGTGGGCATCCACTCTTGGTAGTTAACACAAGGACGAGTGTTGGGACTCACATCTTTGCTTCATTGATGTCAAAGAATCAAGTGCTGTTCAGTCCCTGCTTGAAGTGGGAACCAAAGGTGGTATCTCATTGACCTCAGATCCAGGGACTAAATTTTAAAAATTATTTTGAACTATTTTGCAAACTGAGGGGAAAATGGGAGGGGTGAGGTGTGGAAAGCCATTCTGGATACTGCAACTCAAGATGTTTCAACTCAAAAGAACTTTAAAAAGTTCATGGAAGAATGGAATGAAAAGATAATGGAATTTTTCTAGATGTTTTGAAGCTCCCTCATCCCTCCTCGTCAAAAGGGCAATTAAAATGCTTAATGGATGAAGGCGGCAAAGAGGGGACATGGATGTAGCATAAAAAGAGATTAAATCCTCCTTCAAGAAAGCTACCCCTTGAAGTTCTAAGATAATTCTAAGTAAATGCTAATGCCTTTGCCCCCAACTTAACTTCAAAGATATACTTTGGCCTGAAAACATAAACAGGTTCAAGTTTATGGGCACATTCACATACAGTAGATGATTTGTGGGCCACGTTATCTTCAGCTTATGAGGACAATATCAAAAATATAACCAACCACTAGTTCCAGAAAATGTTTCCTAGAAGCCTAAGTTCTATTAAATGTAATGCTTGCCATTTAAAAAAATTATTAGTTTTGCTATTAGAAAATATTTTGGAGAATCAAGTTATAGGAGGTTCTATAAAATATTCCTACTTTTCCCCAGGCTTTATTGATGTACTTTAATATGGTATTTTAGAAGCTTAAGAAAATAAAAGTCAGAATCTTAGTAGCTCCCATTTCCAATATTTTTACACTCATTGCTCTTTCTTCCACCAACTCTTCAGAGCTACTGAATTGAGAAGGCAATAAAGGGATACAACACAGGAAAGCAGGAGGAAAATGGTGACATACTTTAGTGTCTATAAAGAGGGAACTTCACATTACCTCTAGAGGCCAAGCAAAGTGTCTCGGTCCCAAACAATGGTGTAAAAACAGTAATAAGTGGAGTGTGCCCCTCTATCACTTGGCCCGCATGTCCAATACACAAGCCTGGAGAACGTGGCCGAGAGATGATCTGACATGTCTAATCATGAATCACTTCTTCCAGGTGGGACTGTGGGGCAGGAACTGACCGATCTTTTACTTTGGCAACCAAACCAAGAGCCACTGAGTGGATTCTGACTCTATAGGACCCTAGAGGACGCTCCAGCTAGGATTTCCAGGCCTGCCCATTTTTACGAAAGCAGATTGCCTCATCTTTCTCCTACAGTGTCTGGGGGTTTAAACCATGAACTTTGGTTCGTTGCCCAAGGCTTTATGCATCGTGCCTCGAGGGCCCCTTCACTTGGACAACAGCTGGGGGGTTAGATGCTTAGTTAGGAGATAGCTAGCCAAACAAAAGAAATGTGTGGAACATGTGGAACCTGAGGGCAGCCAATGGGGGACCCATCTGAGCTAAGCAAGCGGAATAGCCAGGGTTAAATCCAAGGAGCACTGGTGGCGCAGTGTTGTGTGGGCAGCGAACAGTAAGGTTGGCAGTTTGAATCCATAAGCTGCATTGCGGGAGAAAGGTGTGATTGTCTGCTTCTGTAAAGATGGCAGCCTTAGCATCCCTAAGGGGCAGTTCTACTGTGGAGTCAGAATTGCTTAGATGGAAATGAGTTGTGAATAGATTGGGGAAACCCTCCCCAACTCCTGCAAAGTATTCAAAACTTGATTCCTTTCCCCCCTCCATCCCTAAATCAGGATCTCCTCAGAAAGCCTTGAAATTCCCATGAAGTGGCCAGTTTTTACGGTACATACAAGGATCACAACCACTTTCAATTAAGGGCATGAGAGGGTGATTTGCCACTTGTGGACCTAGTAGAGGGGGCCACATTAGAACCAAGAGGTCAAATTTCAGTCTGTGCTAACTCCAACATTTAAAAGTTATTTTACATCTGTAAGGGGTAACTTTCTTCCTAAGTATTAAAAGGGTTAATTCCAGGGGTTTCTCAGGTGTACTTGTGTGAAACCACCCAGCAGAACCCAGGTATCCCTCTTCCTTCTTTGCTCAGGATGAGAAACAGAATCGGAACTTCCCAGTTTGCAGACCTGATTTTCCCTGAGCTTGTCAATATTTGAAGGGGATTGCAATGGGCCAGTTTGTCGTACACTGGCACTGCTTGTCGTTTTCCTTCAGAGCAGTTAGTTCACACGGTGCGAAAATGTCTTCAGATGCACATGACTGTACTTGCAAGCCATCTGAGAAAGCAACGGAAGAGGTGAGGCAGGGGCACAGTAGTATTTAAATACCAACATGTCATCCCTTATCCATCCCCTCCCCTACTGGGTTGATTGCTTGAGTGATTATGACCATCCTTATTTAAATGGGCTTATAGCTTGAATATTTAAAAAAAGACAAGAACCTCCTTCCCAAATTACCAGCTGACTATAACATATATAAAGTTGGATTGTCCTATTGTTTTGAATGTGTCCTTTATTGGCAGTAATGGGGCAGGGACATCTGGTATTTTTTATTGGTTAAGGTAACATCTGCCAAGAGATGCAATTTTTACTGAGTGCAGCCTCCTAACCACCCCCACCCCCACCCCCAAATCTGCAGGATCTTAATCACCATAGCAACCTCATTGAGAGGGCAGATTTTCCTAGGTTGGCAATCCCTGATTTACTAAGTTTGATTTCCACAAATCAATTTCTACATCAGGTATTTGAAGCTGGATCCCTTTCCCATAGAAATGCTGATTAAATTCAAACCATCAAGAGGTTTGTACTAATGGACACGGGGAAAAGTAGTGTATAAAGTATGTGTGCAATACTAGGAGCCAAACAAAGGGCACAGAACAAAAATGTTTATTATCTCAGATGCTCGTGTCCAACAAATAACAAGCTTCATTAGAGAAGGAGAGAGAGGGACACCGGCAGAGGTTGAGGTTTCAAACCTCTAGGCAGACCTTTAAAAAGTAAATGGTGTTAATTGTTCAGTCTTTTGGATTTGTAGCTTTCCTTTCACGTGAGATTTCACCAACAGTTCTTTTAATATGAAGTTGACCAAAATGGATACCTTCTTAGTGTATGAATATTAGACATGGTTTTCTTTGTACTTTCTCATAATACATTAGCGTCTAAAATCTTCAAAGTGGTCTTCATTTTTTAAATGGTCACCACATGGATTTTCTCAAAATATTGATCATAGTTTTCTAAGTAACCGACACACTGTATAAACAAAAATTAAGAAGCTCTTAGAAACACATTTAAACATATAGCACATGTGATATATACTGTAACTGCCTCTTTGGGGTCCATCTTTTGCATTAACTGAATAAAACAAAATCTATGTTCCACTAATACTTTCGATAACGATGACATGAATAGATTACAAAATTTTAAATTTCAAAGTTTTCTCAATAGGTTCACAGTCAGAAGAAAATCAGGCGTGTCTTCTGGTTATTTTCCCCCATCATATGGTATCAGTGAGCTCTTTTATTGGCAATTTGGTCATGCCTTGCTCCTGCAAAACCACCCCTTACAGTGAAGCCATAGGAAGGTCTTTTCCCAAGGCAGGGGAAATAACCTGGGCCAACAACAACGTGCAAGGCTGGGGGTGTTTCAAGACATTCTTGAAGACAGGGTTCAACAGTCTACAATCCTAACGGTTTTCTTCCTTTTGCACAACTGCTGAATCACAGTCCTATTACTCTTCTATTTTGCAAAACGAGGTACTTTCCTTCCCTTCTGTGTGGGTACCAGCCTGGTTTCCACTGGCACTAATCTGCTTCGCATGATTCCCTCCAATAATGGACCGCTGGCACTCCCCTCCAGTCGTGTCCTCCTCTTTGAACAGCCTGCACCTATTCCCTATCAATGATCTCATCACAGCCCAGCTCTTCGGTCAGCCGATTGACGACCATGAGGGAGAAAAGCTCTTCGATGAACGCTAACTGATCAAACGGGGTCTTCTCCGAGTGCATCGGAAACCCGGCGCCCTCCAGGGCGGCTGCCCCGGCTCGGGACGTTCGCAGGAAGAGCTTGTTGGCTTCTTCCAGGGCCGCCGAGACCCGGTAGCCGGCGCCGCGGAGCTGCTCCTCCTCGGGGTAGTCTTGGTCTTCGTCCCAGTCATCGAACTCCTCGCCCTCGTCCTCGCTCTCCAAGTCGGGGGCCGCGATCGGGCCGGGCTGCTCCCCGCGGCTCGGGGCCTCCGCCTCCTCCTCCTCCTTGGGGCCTTCCTCCTCGAGCAGCGGCGCAGCGCCGGCGCGGGAGGGGCTCGGGCCCGGCTCGCGGTCCCCGCCGCCTACCTCCATCTGCGGAAGGTCGCTCTCGCCAGGCATCACGTCCATCTGCAGGTCACTGCCCTCCTCGTACATCGCCGACATGACTCAACCGCTCCGGACGCGCACGCGACGCGTTCTCGGCCGCACCCGGGACGACGCTGGCGGGCGCCGGTGCGCTTGCGCAGAAGCGGCGTGCTTGCGTCATCCCGTACGCATGCGCAGCCTCGCTACCTCCGCCCGCCGGGATCCGGGGCTGCTCAGGTGGAGGCGCTCCCCCGCGCTCTGGGGACCTAGAGTGCTGTCGTGGTTTGTGCTTCGCGCGATCGGACGTCATACCTGTAAAGAGCATCCCTGCCGCCTCTTGACTTCGCCATTCCGCTGCTTTCGACGTGATACGCTTGACAATACCCCACCGACCTTGGAAAGCACGTCTGATCGCCCCTCCCCTCTGTCTCGAACCCTTTCTCCTCCCGGGCCGCCTCCTCCCAGGACTCCCCTCCCCCGGAGATCACAGCCGCTGCCAAGGATTGGACAGCTGTCCCGTTGGTTCGCCCAGCCCCCACCGGCAAACCCGTTGCCATGGCGGCGGTAGCGACTCGACGGGTTCCAAGCGGATCTACGGGCTGAAAACGGATTTAGCTTCTGTTTTTGGCATTTACAAAAGTATGTGACATACAGAAATTACAAATGGACTCCGTGGCCGCCACAAAAGGCCCAAAGTAAAAAGTGTGAGGATGGCGCAGGACCCGCCCGGCCGGCGGGCTTCGGTTCTGTTGTACAGAGCGACACTCTGAGTGGGAACCGATTCATGGTCCCTGACAGCAGCAACATAGTCTCTGTGTTTTCTCTAAACATAGTATCTGTGTTTTTGCCTAAAAAACAAACAAAAAACCCCAAGCCCACTGCCATCGTGGTATCGGTCCCTACTCCTAGCGACCCTCCAGGACAGAGTGAAACTACTCTGTAGAGTTTCAGAGGCTGTAAATCTTTACTGGGACAGACAGCCTCATTTGTCGTCATTTTACCCCAGGAGATAACTTTCCACTCATATCAACTCCCCGTCAGTCCCCTTTTTGGCACGTGCACGGATCATTCTGTCCTTTTGAATAACACATTATTTTGTGGAACCCCAACCCTTTCTTTAAAAGATTGTACTGTCTTCAGCTTAAATAAACCCAGTAAGCCTCAGCAATGTCTTCAAGAATTCCCTTTGGCGGTTTAGTGGGTTAAGTATTGGGCGGCTGACCACTGTATCCCCTGTCCAAACCCCTGGAGAAAATGGGGCTTTCTGGCAGCCGTGGAAACCCGCAGGGAGCATTTCCACACTGTCCTTACAGTAGACGGCTGTAAGTTGAAGCCGACTTGACAGCAGTAGGTTTGGGGTTTTATTTAATTTTGCACAGCATCCTATTGCATCGATAGACATGCCACAGTTAACCATAGAAAAACATTTGTCTTTCCTTTCTTGGATATTATAAACTGCAGGTGAATGAAATCTTGGGCGGTTATTTCTCTACAGTCAATACCTAGAAGTAGAAAAGTAATACTTGTCAGCAGAGGTGTAACTTCAGAAAATAGTACCTATGGCAAGGAACGAAATTGTCCCCCTACCCAAACGTTGAGAGAAAGCTTCCCACTCCCATCAACATTTACAGTCTCAGAAACTCATAGGGGCAGTTACACTTTGTCCTATGGAGTCATGGCTTGGATGGCAGTGAGTATCCAAATACCTGATACCCATTTTTTAGTTAATGTCATCCTAATAGCAGCTCAAAACTGAAAGTCAAACTCCTTGTTAATCTTTTACTTAACACATACTGGCACTACATGACAATGACAACTTCTTCGATTCTTCTTCAGTCTTCCTTATTCAAAGTCCAACTTTTACATGCAAATGAGGCAGTTGAAAATATATGGCTTGGGCCAGGCACGCCTTAGTCCCCAAAGTGACATCCTTCTTTTCAACACTTGAAAGAGGTCTTGTGTCACAGATTCACCTAATGCTGTGTGTCCTTTGATCTCTTGACTGCTGAGCATTGATTGTGCATCCAAACAAGACTAGATCCTTGACCACTTCACTCTCTTCTCTGTTTATCATGATGTTAGTGATGGTCCAGTGTGAGGATTTGGGTTTTCTTTACAATGCATTGCAATCCATACTGAAGGCTGCAGTCCTTGACCTTCATCAGCAAGTACTTCATGTCCTCATTTTCAGCAAGCAAGGTTGTATCATCTGCAGATCTCAGGTTGTTAATAAGTCATCCTCCAATCCAGAAGCTGTATCCTTCTTCATATAACGCAGCTTCTCTGATGATCTGCTCAGTATACAGATTGAATGAGTATGGTGAGAGGTCACAACCCTGATGCACACCTTTCCTGATTTTTAAACCCTGAAGTATTCCTTTGTTTTCTCACAACTGCCTCTTGCTCCATGTGCAAGTTCCACACGAGCATAATGTAGTGTTCAAGAAGTCCCATTCTTTTCAAGACTATGTATAGTTTGTTATGATTTTTACAACTGAACGCCTTTGCATAGTCAATGACATCCAAGTAAACATCTTTCTGGTAGTCTCCTCTTTCAGCCAAGATCTAGCTTATCAATGCTTTCCCTTTCTCCATGTCCTCCTCTGAGTCCAGCCTGAACATCTGTTAGATCTCTTTCACAACATTTTACTTGCATGTGATAGTAATGATATTGTTCCATAATTTGAGCATTTTGTTGGATCATCTTTCTTTGGAATGAGTACACATGGATCTCTTCCCATCAATTGGCCGAGTCTTGAAAATTTCATGGACTGGTGAGTTCTTCCAGGACTTCATCAACTTGTTGAAATATTTCAGAGGGTTATCCTGGAGCCTTAATTTTGGCTAATGCTTTCAGTGTAGCTTGCACTTCTTCGTATAGTATCATTGGTTCTTGCTCACATGATAGTTTTTGAAATGATTGATTGCTGACTAGTTCTTTTAAGTACAGTGACTCTGTAATCTTTCCATCATTTTTTGATGTTGCCTGCATCGTTCAGTATTTTGCCCATAGAATCTTTCAAACTCTATGTCTCTGCACATTTCATTATACGTTACTTAATCTTCTCAAGCTGCCTTTTGAAGTTTTCTTTTGTTAAGCTCTTTGACTCTTTAATTTCTTCCATTTGCTTTAGCTCCTCTATAATGAAGAGTTTGATTTCTGTGTATGCCATCTGGAGAAATCTATGTGTGTAGCCATCCTTTGTGTTGTTGAAAAATGGTATTTGCTGTGAAGAAGTCGTGGTCTTGCCAAATTCTGCCATGCCATCTCCAGCTTCGTTTCTATCACCCAGATATATATTCTGACAGGTTTTCCTTCCCCTTTGTTCCCAACAACCAATAATTATCCATGCATTTGGATTGCTTGTTTGATTAATTTCAGACTGAAGACACTGGGAGAATTATTCAATTTCTGCATCACTATAGCCCTTTAGAGGCTGCTGAATAAATTCGAATCATAGTGGTATTGACTGAATTTCCTTGTATGGGGATAGATAGTATCACAGACAACATCTTCAAGATCAAGCTTGAAATGTCCATTTTGATAATGAACGTGACATTATTCTTCTTGCCTACTTTAGAGAAAGTAGCCACTGTAAACCTTACGGATAGCAGGGAAGCAGGGTCAGATATTGAACAGTTCATGAGTAGAACCAGCATTGTCAGAGGTAGTGCGAAAAGATGAGCCCCTCAGATCAGAAGGCACTCAGCATATGCCCGAGGAAGAGCTGCCTTCTCCACGTGAAGCGGAACATAACGTGGATGGAGTTCAGGCTGTGGGAACAAAGTCTTTGAGACTGTCATTTGATAACGGGCAAAACTCAAACTGAGAAGAAACAGCTGCAAGCATCAATTAATAATCAGAAGTTGGAATATATGAAGTGTGAAACTGAGAACATTTAGCGATATCTTGTATTATTTCCCATAATGTCTAGTTCTTGGACATTGACTATCTTTCCATATGTTTATCGAACATGCATGTTGCTTTAGTGAATGAACTGGTTTATTTAGGGTTTCTTTATTTTATAGATTTGTAGAAATTCTCTGTATGCTTCATCTCTGAAAACTTTGTTTTCCAGGCTGCAAATATAGGCTCCCCACCTGTTTTATGTCCTGTTTAAGGGCTCTGTTCTCCTATAAATGTTTAAAATTTTGATGGTCACATTAACATTTTTCTGTATATCTTCTTCCTCTCTGTTAGATAAGATGGGTCTTCCTCATCTCAAAGATCACAAATATCATCTTTGATCTGTTTTCTCCTGGTATCAGAGGTGTTTTATAGATCAGTTTTAAATGTATCCTAAGAAGACACGAGAGACTTTAGCTAGATAGAAAGATAGCCAAATCAGTCATTCTACTAATTTGATTAACATTTTTTGCTGCTATTTGGAGTTGCCACATTTATCATAGATTTAAAGTCCATGAATACATGCGTCTGTTTTCTGGCCTTCTATTCTAATTTCCATAGTTTCAGAATATCTTCCCGACAAGGAAAATAATACCTTTGTTCTTTAAAAATTTTCTTTAACACTTCTTATACATTAATTCTTCCATCTGCCTTTTAGGGGCAGTTTTAAATTTTCCATAGAAGACATTGGTGGACTTTTGACTAGAACAGCGTGAAATGTATAGATTTATCTGTGAAATGTATAGATTTATCTGGGGAGAGTCGACAGCATTGTCAATGACTTTAGAGTATGGTCCACTTATCCATAAAGATGTCTTTTTCTACTCATTCTGGTCTCATGTGTACTCTTCAATGATGTTTTCCAATAAGGCTTACTGTAGGATCCTCATTAGTTTTATTTGTAAGAATTCTAGTAAAAGGTAGCATCCCCCCGTAGTACAGTGTTAAAAGGCTATTGTTGACCGACAGAAGGCACATTGATCTTGTATGTTGAGTTTTTGTTTCTAGGATTTTTTAGTGAAATATGTGCACACATATATTACATTAGTATTTCCCAAAGTGGGTGATTCTGCCCTTGGTTGGGGCTTGGGGGCTGCAGTGATCTAGGGGGCAGTGCAAAAGCCCATGATTACACTTGATCTTGCGTTATGGGTTATAGTACAACTGTTTGTAATTGCCAGGGTGGGCGCTGAGTTTTTTGGAGTTTTTTCCTGAAAAGGTGGTGGCAGTTCGAGTAAG